GCCTAGAGAATCCTTAAATAACTACCTCTCCCTAACAGAGTGCGATTCAAGCCATCAAAATATTTTGCCACTATTCCTGCTGGCAGACATGCTGTCAGAGCTCGTCATCATTTACACAGCTTATACCAGGTGGCATCATGTCACCATTTGTTTTTCTGAGTCTCATTCCAGGTTGCCGCTGGTGAAGCGTTACAAATCCTGAAGGTGACAGCAGTGGATCCTGCTAGCCTGTACAGCAAAGCCACTTTATTAGCGGTCAGCCCGAAGCCAGGACTGCAACAGTGATGCAGACAGCTTCTGAGTAGAATATTAAGACAGTAATTTACAGCTAAACTTCTCTGAATTTCTTATGTGATTTTCTAACCCAATATGACCTTTGGTAAACTGCAGATATTTATGTAAACAGGGATTTATGGCCCTAAATATTCCATTTTTTCTGTTTGTGTTGTGCATATCTGATCAAATCTGTACATGCTTCAGGGTTTTATACTGGAGTCATTTTTTCCCCAAATGAACGCAAACAAATGAAAAAGTAGCCACGAAGCTTCTCAATTGCCTTGTTTTTAAATCCAGTGGAAATGGTAAAAGTTACAGCTTTTTTGTTTTTCTTCAGAGGTTCAAATGCTGCCTGGCAATAATTGACTTGTTTTGCTCCACATTAAGTGGTTTTGCGGGTAAAAGCAGAGTGACTAGCGCCATGCAGATAAACGCAAAAAATAGAAACTTCAAAGCAGATACATAAACCATTTTAGTGTCAGGGTGAGCTGGTAGAGTTTTACGATTGAAAATTGTGTAATTGCACAGTTCAGAAGAAGAAAAATTGACTTCTATCATTGAGACTGTACTTTCTTTAGCTACAAGTATATGAAAGAAGGTCTACCAAAAAGGAAAAGCAAACAAGCTTTGGACTGCAGGCTTGGTCAGTACAGTTCAATAAAATTGTTTTTGCCTGATCTTAGATGAAACGCTTTCAATATGCAGCTCCCTTTTCCTCGGGCACAGGATTTATTTTAGTCAAGTACAATTTATCTTTGATCATATTAGAATTTTTGGCTTCAGCTATATGGTGTAAAGTGGCCTTAACTACAGCACTGAACCACCAGGGCTTCCAGTTCATGTGGCCTTAAAGCACATAATCTATTTGCTATAATTAGTTTCAGCATCAGTACGATAGGCCGGCCATGCGGCTAGCACCGTCTTCCTGGGTAATTTCCCTCATATCTGCTAACCACAGCACCCTGCCCACTATTATTTTCTCCAAGGGCTGGATGACATTTGGAATCATGGTGTAGAAATGTGGGTTCACACAGCAAAGCTTTTGGCAACCAAGCTTTACCACAACAGAGCTAAAGAGGGCAGATAAAGGTTATGAATTTAGTTCTAACCTTGACCGGTTAGAAAAGGTCACTGCTGTTTTTGTAGGGAGTTCATTTACAAGTTGTTTCAGAAAGTCATGCTTCGTATGGTATGTTCTGTTGCAGAATCTGACTTTTGAATACCAAGAATAACAACACTACATACTGTTTACATCAGTAAAGATGTATAGATGTTTGTACACATTCATATTCATAGCAATAATTTAATTATTAAACAATTAAAAGTTGTCAGAAATTACAGTGTATAATGAATTGGGTAGTACCAGTAAAACAAGGCTTCAAGACTTCTTCCAACTAGATGTGTCTAAATTCACTGCTTCTCAGCTCAAGGACAGCAATCTCTCAGAAGACAAAGGGGGCCGGAACACACTGATTAATTTGCAGTCTTTAATTTTACAAATACTTAAGGGCTGTGAATTAATCAGTGTGTTTCTGTTCCTTTTGCTCCTCTCGAAAAGTTACTAAATCTGAATTTTAGAATAGAAAGCAAATTTGAAAATACAATCCACACAGTAAAAGTGCATTTAGTGAATCCTCAGGCTTGCTCTAACTATTCCTACAAATACAACTAGCAAATCAATAAACTCAGCTTCTCTCTCACCCGCTATCTGTGGCTCAGCACAATTTTTAGATGCTAAAAGTAAATAAAATGAAAACTGACATCCTGTTCCATAATCTTAGGAGCATGAACAAAAACAAGTTTGTGAAGACGTTTCACCTCTCATCCAAGAGCCTTCTTCAATTCTAAAAACAAATGGTGCCCATTTAGGTCATTGACTTACTATTGATCGTGTGCGTCATCACGAGTCAAGGTGAGAAAAAAGGCGTGGACAATTACAATCATCAGGGGTTGGGGGGGAGACCATAGTAAGACCTTGCCTCACTTTACCATGTGTGTGATTGGAGTCACCTGAGGCAAGGTATGAAGCTCCTGGGAAGGAATCTCAGGACTGCATTGTATGCAGGTGGCTAATAGCTGGTGTTGTAAGCCACCAGCTCTGTTCAGCAATGGTCATCCACAGTGGATATAGATGGCCTCTTTTACTCCTCTCTCAAACTAGTTGGTATCTGACTTTTTTTTTCTGTGCATCTTTGTGGATTTCTGGTGAGGTGAGGTGTCTTCAGAAACTTTAAAAAGTCCATGTTATTTTTTAAGCTCTTAAGAGTACCATGAATGGACGACTGAGAACCTACACAGACATCAAGCTCCATACTACATAATATACAAAACAGCCTTTGCTGCATTTGCAGTGGAAAGAGTGATGAAAGTATTTATATTCAAAACAATCATCATGTATAGTAAATCCTCTAATGGATGTGCTTGTTAGTTCCAAAGAAAATAATATTTCCTCACAGCAGACATTCATTCAATATGCATAATAAGAAAAGAAGTGGAAATATTATTAGTGGCTTATTAATAAACTGTGACAGTGTGAGAGTGAGCCACCAATCCAAGTAACCAGAAAACTGAAACCAAACACAGCTAAATTAAATTTAGTCATCAGTATTTAGTGTTTATTATCTGTGCTTCCCCTACTGGGACAAAACCAAATATTTTGTGTTTAAAACTTGCAATACCAATTTAAAAACCATACTAATACCAATTACAGCATCCTACAAAGATCAGTAGTACATAAACATAGTATATAATGTATACTTTTAGTACCAGAGAAGAAATCAGTGATTAAAGCACAGTAATCTATTGCCACCACAAAGGCTGTTAGCCACAGTAAAGCGGAAGCAGGCTCTGTGGTCCCCCTGATGTAAGTAACTGATAGAAACCATGAATCGCCATAGAAACCACAACAAAGAGCTGTAAAAACCAACGCCTTATAGTTATAAAGTGTTATAAAGATATTAAGAACTAAGCGACAAACAGCACAGACGCTTTGTCACCTGAACTCTGACTGAAACAGAGTTTAAGTGGTGGGTGTAATGCAGTACACTGTTATCAGCAGTAACCATACCTTATTAATGGCATACTCACAATCATTCTGACAGACTAGACGTGATCTAAGTTACTTTTGTTTTGCAGGTTGGACGTAGAAAATTAACATCTTCTTTTCACTGGAAAGTTTCTTATCTAAATGTCCAGTTACATGAGCGCAAATCTACAATCAGCTCATGTCGCTTTTCATTTCCTGTTTTAGCGTGATCCAATTTTTGTGACTCTTTGGGAAAAAAAGTGAAAAAGTAAATAAGTTTAAAAAAAAATCAATCTACCGCAAATTTTATGGATTGGTTCTTTAGTCTTTTTTGTTTTTGCAATTCGTCCATTTGACAAAAATGAAATACCTTCTAGCTTTCTTTATGCACTCAGGGTTGTGTGTCAACTCCATCAGGGTATCCTTTAAGCACAGAAAGACTGGGATTGAAACTCAAACAGAAGCAACCGTTGCGATGCAGCAGGAAATTACATGTTGCTAAATCTGACAGGTGTGTTTGGAAAATCACTAGAAAAGTGCTGAGTCATTATTTGTAACTTGCATAGCCACTCCCACAGAGAGAGTTTTGTTTTTTTTTTACAACTACATTTCTCACAATAGCAAGCATGCACTCTAGATATGTGTCCTTGAATGGCATATTGAGACCTCTGTGGGCTGCAGCTGGCAGCTGAAATTGACCACTGACCCCTCACTATGCAGCTATCACATTACTAATTATGTATTATAAATATCACTGCTCACCATGCTTCAATTGAGAATTAAAATTGCATCCCCAGACTTTATTTGGCTTAAGGCAAAGGCACAAAACACTATGGTTTTATTTGAAGCATCTCTAATGAACAATGCTTTCTGAACTCTTTTTTGTAGTTAACCCTGATCTTTGGCCTCCCAGCTGCACCCACATGCCAACAATATCAGGCTCCACACAGCTCATTCAAGAGTAGGCGTGCAGAGGAGAAACGCTGTAGAGATCCCACACCTTAAACCTCCTTTCCTATAGGTGTCACTATACGCGGACGCCCCACCCCCTACCCCACTTCACTCTACTCTTCATCCCACCCACTAAAGCTCCGCGAAAGGGTGTGCTTTTTGAAGGCTGTATGAGGCTATAATACAGCTGCAGACAAGTCAAGTCGCCACTTGGTTTGACACCACGGGGGAAAAAAAGCCTCCGAGGCAGAGGGGGAGCATACGCACAAGTACCCCCACCCCTCGCATCCTCCGTCTGAGCTCAGCACAGGGTCTAGTCTCTCCGGACATACCGTGGAGATGCGGAACACACGAAGGTTAATATAAAAAAGTTGGTGTAGTCGGGGCACACGGTGAACACATAATGTGGCAGCTGTCGTGTAGCTTCTATTCAAGGTCAGTATCTGAGCACGGCCGCCTCACGGACGACTGTCTTAGGTAGGAGGGGGAGAGAGGAGACGCTGAAGGGATGCCGCTGTGCCTCGTTTACCTCCAGCATCAACGATGACATCTTCTACCGAAGAAGACGTTGATCGTCAATGACAAGGAAACGGACAAACTTGTGAAACGCTGCTACGAAGAGCAACTGGGGTCACTGGGCTGTTGTAAAAGGAAAAAAAGACACTCTTTCAGCATCTTGGCGTTTCCTGCTTTCTTTCCACAACGTTATGTGCTGGAAGCGGCTGTTTACCTGGCTACAACAAGCGAAGAAGTCTAGCTAGCTAACGTTAACTGACATAATGAGGGGTCTGTTTCTGTTTCGCATTGCTTCAGTGTCAGTTTGACGAACTGACTGTCAGAATCTTCTACGGTTGACGAGTTTTAACTAACGCGACACTACGAAGTGATAACTGGCACAACTTCCTTAAACTTGCCCGGTTTTTCAAGCCGACTTGTTAAAAAAACCCAAACAAACTCGGATTCATTTTCATTCAAGGTCGCCTTTGTTTTTCAGCAGTAATGCCTTCCGGGACTGTGTCACACGGGGCTTCGGGCCGGCTTCGTGGACTGTTCTTGGTGATGGTTTTAGTGTTTCTGGAGGGCTCCGTGTTTACCGTCGCTGTTGCCAGCTCCGACCAGCATTCTCCTACCACGGCACACTCGGGCGGCCACAAAGCGACTGACCATGGCAGTCACAACAACACTGGAAAGGCTTTCCCTGTGCTAGACTTGAACTACGAAAACGTACGGGTCCCGTTTGAAATCTCATTATGGGTCCTCCTTGCCTCTTTGATGAAATTAGGTGAGTGTGATGTTATGTGAAAGCTCCACGTGACCTGTCAGTATGAGTGCAGCCGTTTCTGGAAATACCTGATTTAGTGTTACCTTATTTATCCAAATTCTATAAGTCTCTCCTACATCAGGTAACAGCCAGTTTTTCAGGTGAATAATTACATTATAAAAAACATGCAGAATTACAGTTGATAGACGGCACATTTGAATCAAAAGAGTTGAGTTAAAGTGCAGTTTTCCTGGTGATCAGATAGTAGATCGCACAGATAAATCACATGGAATGGAAGTTGTCAAGCAAACCAACCATAATCTTTTTTTTCTTTTAAAACAAAAAACAACCATAATCTTAAAGCATCATGTTTGACCCCTAGGCCATCCTACTTGTGTTGTGCATTAATGATTACTCTGGTATGCAGACTTTACTAGTTTGCTCAAAATAGCTCAGCTCAGTCTGTGAGAGGGCAAATCAATATTGCTGTTCAGGAAGGTTACTCATCAGATATGCCACTGTCATGTGGTGAAGATGTTTAAGAGATATATTCACTCCCTGCTACAATGATGACTAAGCAACCTGATACAGCAGTCTGGATATTTAGTCTTCAGCACATTGGCACAGCTCTACCTCTACCTTGCAGTATTGTCCTGAGCGATGTTTCAGAAGCAGCTTGATTTTTCCCCCTTACTGTTTGTGTTCTCCTTTATACTGTCTTTACCATCAATTTCTCCTGGCTTTCTGCTTTCTACAGAACACTGCATTGTCCTGAGCCATCTCTTTTTTCTTTTTCTTTTTTTAAATTATGAGAGCCAGCAGCTTGTCACTTGCCTGTGACATCAGGGGCCTGACTGAGCAGCAGCCTGTAGCCAGGGAGGATACTGCCTCACTGTCTGGGCAAGAAGCCCAGTATCTCAGGGGAGAGGACAGGAAGAGGGTCCACCTGGTTTGGGTAGCTTACTTGTTAGGATGCAGCTCAAGGACACAGAGTAAAAATGATAGATGAGCATTAGCAGAAAGTGTGAGCAGAAGGAATGAGGAAAGTACAGAAAGTCGAAGAAAGGCAAATTAAAAAAATTAGACTAGATGAATGTGTAGGCTGACAGCAGCAGTGGACAGTGGTGACCTTAACCCTCCGATTATCCCTTGACTACTTAAAATGGGCTCTGAACAAAAGATCAAAGTGATAAAAAGTGGCTGCTACCCTGCTCTGCCTCAGCCGTGTCTCTGATTCATGTTCACTGAATTTATATCTTACAAGCTAAAAAGCGCATTCACAGACCATTTGTCTCTGAAGCAACCTTGACTGTGCATGGTGCCTTTTCTCTGCCTTTTTTCAACTGAGTACTTTAGATAAATTGATTATAGCCACCCCCAAATCTTCTCACATGAATCAGAACCAGGGGATGCAATTTAACTGACAAGTTGCCATTACCGTAAACACTGGTTAAGAGTCAAAGCCTTTATATTCACAAGGTATCTATTTTTGTCTCTGTAATCAGGCCATAAACACTGTACCACAAATATCATATCTTATCTTGTGACCCCAAAGCTAAGTCCACTTGAAGTGCACTATATATGTGTGTATAGTTCTCATAAAAACATGTTGTCTTTGTGTTAAGAGCAAGGCTGTGTTTGCAAGCATCCATTTTTTAAAAATTATGTTTTCTTTAATCGGGATGAAAAATATGCTTTCGCTGAATTTCTTTCCACATTTAGCATGAGTGTAATTTGTTACTTAGTAGAAATTAGATTGCAACCTGAACCTTATTTATTTCTTGTAGGGAAGAAAAAAAAAAAGAATAGATTTTAACATGAAATGGCCATTGCCTTTTTTTTAAGTTGTAAGCAGATTTGTGATTGTGTGATATAGGCTTTGTAGTGATAGATAAAAGAGTAAAACAATACCAACACAGATTTCCTATCCTCTCTCATAAAAAAACAAACAAACAAACAAACAAAAACAAGCCCCCATGGCTGCAAAACATTGCAGTTCTTCTAGCAGAACTGCAATGTTTATAACTGCAATAATAACTCTAAAAAGAACAGTTTTGGCCTATATGGATAGTTCCCTCTCCTTTAAGTTGTCTATCTGCATAGTGGAAAAAGGGGTGTGACCGCTTTGACTGACAGTTTTCTTGACAAAGGAAACTGTAGCCGATTGGTGTTTGGGAGGCCTCACCTCATCTAATTTTAGTCTGTGAACCAGGTCTTTCCTCAGTTTTTGTGTTCTTTGTTCATTTTAGAGCATTTATGGATTTATTAGACAAATAGCTGTTGGGGTTACAGGGCAGGAAGTTTGTTTTCCCTCAGCCAGAGTTAAATACTAGTATATTATTAGCCTGTCCTAGTAAATTGGCAGATACTTGTGTCTGTGCATTGTAACATTACAGTTTCTGGAGGCAGCTTGTTAGCCAACGTTAGCTTATAAGTTAACACTCCACCCTCTCTCCAAATATGGTAAGTTCCGGTTTCAAAACACTAGCATTGCAGTGGCCAAAATGCTAACAGTGAGACGGCAGAATTCAGAGTCCAAAACTAAAGAGCAATGTAATAAAGGTGTTTGTTTTTTTTTGTGTTTTTTTTGTTTGTGTTTTTTTGGCTATACAAACTATGGTTATGAATCACTGTGGCTTAAATGTGTGCCAGACTTTGCCATAATATGGAAACCATTATAACTTTAAGTGAATGAAGGCATGCATTTCCATTGCTCAGAAAATGCCACATTGAGTGGGCATGTATGTAAGTGCACGGTTTTGTTGATGTTAACTAAAAAAATATGGCCTTGTTAAACAATGAGAAGAAGAACATAATCAGTGCCAAAACTCAACCCAGAATTGCAGCTCCAGCAGTTAATAAAATTGCTGATGGTGTTACATGTCTTTTGTGGTACCTTTTCGCACTTTTAACTGTTTTCATGTCTGTGGTGACGTCTTTGTTTCCTTCCCGTTTTTAAACTTGAGGGATTGCAAGCTTGTGGTTTGATTTGTTCCCTTTTGTGACTTGTAATCACTAGAAACTGTGTCTTGAGTCAAGATTCTGAGGCTGTTAGGCTAATTTGTTTGCTTAGTAAATGATCCCCCAGGTGACGCTCACAATATATTTTTTTTCTCTCATTGTAGGTTTTGTTTTTTTGGTTTTTTTGGGGGGGGGTTTTCAGCTACTATATATTGTTGAAGCAGCCTGCCAGAGTCAACCAAGGCCTGCCTTATGAGTAATTCAAGTTGTAAAGAGTGTGCGGCCTAAGACGTGATTCTTGATTTTTGCAGTAGAACTAAACAAGTTAGATATGGGCCTTAGGTTGTGTGGGAAATATTCCCAGTACAGAATTTGAAACCAAACCCTTGGCAAAGAATGACTCACTCTGTCACAAAGTCTACTCCACATACCTGTATGGTGTTATTTATTAAAACCAAGCCCAGATTGTTTAACAAAGAAAAGTACTGAACTGCCACACTTACAGATAAATATCTTTGCTTAAAAATGCTTACAGTAAATACCAAGTGTGTTCATGCAAAAGGCTTTTAAAGCAATTGGACATATTGACCAACTGGTTTAATGATTTATAATCAGATATAATCAGCTATATCTCAGTTTAATGTAGAAAATTGCCTCATGGGTAGATAAATGCAATAAACAGCCATAGAAAGAAAGTTGCTTTACTAATATTATAAAGTAAGTCATGGCAAATCAGGCAACCACATCGAATTTTCATCCTTTTCTTTTTCACTGCTTTCAGTGTTTAAAACCTCAATCTATTCGCTTAAAAACCTGTGTTCAACTGACACTAGTTATGCTCACTGAATTGTACTCCACTCAGTTGTTATAGTAGAAGACAAAACTCAGAATCATATCCTTGCAAGGAAACCCCTGCGGCTGTTTTGTAAAAATATGACGTCAGGGATCATACTAAATTATACCACCACAAGGCCGTAATAAATAATTCAAAAACAATGCTGTGTTCCACAAGCAACTTGACCCCAATGGTCTGCGCTGAACAATAACTCACAACAACTTTTATACAACACCTAACTGGGACTGCATCTCACTAAAATACATGCAAATCTTGGCCTCACTGTGAACTCCAATGTTATGGTGTTGGAAAGCTGCTTGCCGTATCACAATTACTACAAAGGAGACCAGATGAACGTCACTATTTTAAACAAAGAAACTCTTTAAATATGTTTGCTATCTTTTGTGTCTGTTTAATGCAGCTGATTTGGTTGCCAGTGGTTTGTAGTAAGTTACCTGGCAACAGGGCACACTTCCTGGTTTTGGGAATGACAGTGTAGTTCGTACTAGGCAGTACTGACACTGGGTACACATCCAGAATTGAAAGAGCTGTTACCCTTTGCTAGTTTTCAATAACCTTGTTGCATAAAGGCTCCCAGGAGGCAATGGGGCAAGGACACAGCAGCTGCCCTTATTGAAAAGCAGCCATGAGAAACTGCCTAATCTTCTACTTTAAGAACATGGCATGAAAAAAGTCTTTATTATCTTACACACTACATGGCCCTTCAGACATTTATTTCCTACATACCCATGTCTTAATCATGATAGAGTTGTGTACCAGCTTGTGCCAGTGTTCTTTGAAGTTCACTTCCCTCCTTTTCTCTATCTTATCTTCTGTGTTATTACCCTTCATTAGATGATTGCTGAAGGCCATAGTTGGAGTTGTGCTTAAGAGATTTAACAATGTGCTGTCAACACTTAGCTTAGGATGGGTTGTTCAGTCTACTTTAACTTAACCTTTAGCCCCCAATATTGCATGTGTTAAGAATTTTATATTTAGAAGGGTCTGTAATGATAGTGGCATACATGTCCAGCATGCACAGTCACCCATGAATGATAATGGCACATTTAGAGTTTCATTCCTGGGTCCAGTATTAAGTTTGCCTCTGTTCAATGCACCAGCAGAAATACATTTATACCATACAGTTGTGACCTGTTTGCCCTTTCCTCAAGTACCATACTGCCCAACATTTTATCAAAGGGCTTTGTGTTTCTTTGCAACACTCAGTCATTAGAGCAGTTTAGAAATGTTTTGCAGGGGTATTTCATGTCCTTTAGATTGAACTTTATTTTATTCTAGATTCAATCAGCGTCAATCAGAAGAGCACTTTGCAGAAGGGATCTTCTGTTTGTTTTCTATTAATACCACTGCTGGCTTCCCACCCTCTTACATATGTTATCTTTTGGGGGAAAAAAAAGAAAATACTTTGGAAAAACCGTACATGTGATGTAGATTCCCTTACTACTTACTCAGACTCACAGTTGGGTATAATGAGATGCTCTTTTCTTTGAATAAGGCTACGTTCACACTGCAGGTCTTAATGCTCAATTCCGATTTTTTGATCAAATCCGATTTTTTTTTTTTTTTTTTTTTTGTCTGCTCGTTCACACTACAAATAAAATGTGACAGCAAACGTGCTCTAGTGTGAGCCCTCAAAGCGGCCCGCATGTGCAAAAGAAGACGTCACACACAACGCACTCTGTTTAGACCCAGAGCAAACAATATTGTTTGACTGTTTCAGACTTTACGTTTCCCAATTTTGCTTTAAGTTATGAAGTTATTTTGTTATTTACGTATGGCCTAATAATCCTTCTTGCAGTTTTAGAGAGGAGCGGTGCTTCAAAGGATAGTTGCAGATTTCTGTCAGAATCTGCAGATTATACAGTACAAATAAAATGTTCATGTTTCTCCAACCTTGTCTTCCCAACGGTTTCACTAACATCTACACTGGATGGCCAGGAAACCTTCACGATGTCTTCTCGGGCGCTTCTCTGGCGCTGATAATTGGCGTCTGTCCTGTGATGTAAAAGATGGATTTAATGCGACATGACCGTTCAAACAGCAGTCACTTTCTAAAACATCAGATATGTATTGGATTCAGTACCACATATGAAAGTGACCCAGATCGGATTTGAAAATATCGGATTTGTGGCGTTCACACTGTCATACCATGTTTGGATATGGGTCGCATAGGGTCCAAAAAGTCGGATTTGATGTGCTTTTGCCTGCAGTGTGAACATAGCTTTAGAGCTCTCTCCTGGTGTGACGAGAAGTTTAGACTTGTAAAATCTTTGTATGACACTTTGTGCTTTCTGTGTGAGAATTGCTAAAAAAAATCATATTCATTTAAGTTACAGGACTGTGTTAAAGTCATGTGGCGCCTCTCATTTTTTATGTTTTGATAGGAAAGTGGGAAATGGGTGAAATGATCTATTGAAATGTGCAAGCAAAAATGGAAATGGGTAGAAGATGAAAATGGTAAACTATTCCTGAAAATTACTTTAATCTTCAGGAATAGTTGTCCGGGCTTGAAGAACATTCAAAGCCCTCTGGATTTTGGCTTCCTTTTGCACTGTTCTTTGCCAAGTTAACCCAACAGTCCTTTAATAATGTTGGGTAGGCCAATCCATGACTGACAGTATTCCAATGTATGTGTGTAATGTTTTTGGGGGGGTCAATACAGTTTGGGATCATTGACAGCCTGAGAAATGAAACTGTTGCAAATTAGATGCTTTCCAGATGGTATTGCATAATTCCATCAATTATTAAAAGCCCCAATGCCACTGGCTGAAATGGCTGCAACAAACCATGGGCGTAGGCTCCACTGTTTTACAGATGGCTCAAGACACTGTTGTACCTCTCACCTGAAGTTCTCCATTTATATTGACAATGGTTTGAACAAAGTTTTTTTTGATCGCCAATTAAAGTGAATAACATATTAAGCATACTTTATGCCTTTAAATTTAGAACAGTAACTTCAAAATTACTTGAAATGGTTGCAATTATTTATGCATTATCAAGGAAGCAAAAGGATAAATGGATATGACCTACCACAGTTGTTGGCAGGCATTTTTGTGTAAAATGTTATCATGGGTATTAATTCTGAGGAAGGCCTTTCACTTTAAATTCTGTTCAGCTGAGTACCAATTAGCTTAGCTTGGGGTGTGCAGGCTGATTTGTGTAATTTGATGTCCCCCACACTAACAGATATCCCTGTAGTGTTGATGCCAGCAACACGTTTAGACGAAGCTTTGTAGTTATGTAACCGTGTCTATGGGAGTCGAGATGTTGTAATCACCAAGGTGCTAATTTGTGGTGCTAATTTAGCCTTATATTCGAAGCCTCTTGAGAGCACATCAACCGTCTCTTCTGAGAAGACACTGTGTTTTGGAAAATTCCAGAAAGAGCAGCGGAATTTCCATCCTGCTCACATCCCATCGTTTTGGCTGAAATTTCATAAAGTTCTTGTTTACTGTGTTCAAGCCGTTCTCATAGAATATCTTTGTTGACCCAGTTGGATACTGAGCCTCCCAGGAGGTTTAGGTAACGCTCTTTTTCTTTTTATATTAAGGTTATTTGAAAGAGCAGCACTTGAGTTCTGGCATCTTATCGTGGCTAAATGAAGTCTTCTTAGACCAGTTAAGATAAAGCCTCTAATCCTGCAGCTGTGTGACACACAAACATGCACTTGTTGAGCTTTCCTTTTCTGAAACACTGTTAATGTTGTGCTCAAGCTGCCCTAGCGGGAAACACACCAAGACCACCCTCACAAATGCCCAACTTGTAACTTGTGATGCTGGTGTTTTACATACCGTTAAGACTTGTATGCTTATGTGCTTTCACTATAAATGATGCGTTGTGTTGTAGCAATAAGCGTGCGTACTGGCATGAAGGTCTGATATTTACACGAGAAACAACCTGTATTATAACTGAGAAACATGCTGTACTATGCACTAATTGGTCAACATTCATTTAGCGTGCCATTAATCACATTGTGTAAAAGTAAGCCGATCAGAGGGACCATCTTCATGCCTCATCTCTCCTTGTTCAAAAGAGGGGTACAAATCCAGCAGCTATTATTTCAGCTGGTACTGCTTTCAGGCACCAACCACTTTTGTCCTATGATGATTGAACTTTGTAACTATGTTGCTCACTGATAGTTTCACATGTGCTATTTTAGATGAATGTATTCAATATTAAAATACCAAATTTATTGATTTACAGTGTAAAATGATCTTTCCCAAAAATATTGTTTTGTCTGGACGTGTTGTTGTAACCCTGCCTGGTTTAAGTTTCTGTTTATGCCGTGTTATTTATTACACTGCCAGCAAAATACTGACACATACTTGTGTATAGTAAAAACAGCCCCACTGTGGGATGCCTACTGCTGTCCCTTTGAAGTCTTTATTTACTGTTTTTCCAAAAGTTGCAGTTGTTCCATTGCCTCAACATGGATAGGCAACTTGTGTATGTATTTTGATAATCAGAAAGATAGGCTTTCAAATACACACTCCATATGTCGTTTGTTGGGAGTGGCAAAGTCTTACTGTGAGCATACAGTATTGACAGACTCTGTGCCTTGACATGAGCTATGTAGCCTCAAGCAATACCACCTGATTGGGAAAGGTTATTTCAGTTCTCTGGAATGCCCACCAAATTAGATTAGCTGATCAAATAAAAATTTAATGTAAATTAAATAATAAAAATAAAGGTAAAATATAGCACTTATGTATTGTTTCATGTCCTGAACGTAGGGCGATAGTAACTTTATTTAAACTGCACGCTTGACTTTGTTGGTCTCTCGTGTCTCTTTAGAGCTGTCTACATTATATCTTTTGCATGTCATTTAATACCAAGGTGATGGTATTAGGATCAGGGGTTACACAGGTCATTAACATACCAGCAGCTGCAGTTTGTTTTTTGTTTTTTTATTAAGATGTTGGAATGAGTACGTGAGGACAGGCAAGCTTTGGCAAGTCTATACAGCCCACACAAAATTCTTCCTTTTGCATTTCCTGCCCATATCATCAGTGCAGAATGGTGCATTTCATGCTGATGTTAACAGTGATGAATAAATTCAGAAGCTAATTTTTTGTGCACTATTTAAAAAAAACAAATAAATAAAATAAATCTAAAGCACAAGAAGGAATTAGCTGTGTGGGTGGTAGCATAACACATAAGTGCTGTATGTTACAGATGATTGCTTGTGGTTTGGGGTTGACATGTTAGTTCTGTGTAATCTCTGTAAAGCAGAAAAGAGCTCGAAATAATTTTGGTTAATTTCAGGGTGTGTCCACACTATTTGTTTATTACTTATCATTTAACCCATAAAGCAACTTAATTATTTTTATTTTCACTTAAGATCCATTTCCTTCAATTTACACATTGAATTTGTATTACATCTGTTTTATAGTTGACAGTGAGTACAGGTGGTCAATACTATATATACAAACCTTCTGCTGCTCATATCAAGCACTTGTTCATGTTTGCTGTTTCCTTATATGATATTGTCTCTTCTTTTGTTTCCATCCAGGGTTCCATCTGGTTCCTCACTTATCCAACATTGTGCCAGAGAGCTGCCTGTTGATCGTGGTGGGCTTGCTGGTAGGGGGAATCATCAGAGGTACTGGTGAAACAGTCCCACCAGTAATGGACTCTAAATTGTTTTTTTACATCCTGCTTCCCCCCATTATCCTGGATGCTGGCTACTTCCTGCCCATCCGTCCCTTCATGGAGAACCTGGGCACAATCCTGATATTTGCTGTCGTGGGTACTCTTTGGAATGCCTTCTTTGTTGGGGGCTTGCTATATGGTGTGTGTCAGATTGGTACAGAAACCAGTTCAATCCTTAGCAGAATAGGGCTTCTGCAGTGCCTGCTCTTTGGTTCCATCATATCAGCTGTGGATCCTGTTGCTGTGCTTGCTGTGTTTGAGGAGATCCACATCAATGAGCTCTTGCACATCCTGGTGTTTGGCGAATCACTACTCAATGATGCCGTAACTGTGGTGAGTGACCAAACTGCAGTCTAAGTAGTACAGTAGACTGATATATATGAGGCAGACATTTTTCAGGCTAAAACTGTTTGGCATTTGACATTCTGCTGATTTGTTTACCTGGGATTACAGGGACTAGTATATACATTTCATTCATACAATGTGTAACCAGCCCAGAGGCCAAATTTATTTTCATGTTAAAAAATAAAAGGAGCTTCACGGTCAGCAAACAATACATTCTATCCTTAGCCCCTTGACTGGATTGACTAAGACATTAGTTCATGTCCTTATCACCCATCATAATCCTGTTTCTTAAACTATTCTCCTACCAATTCATATTCATTAGTTAGTACCTTTTTTTTTTTTGTTATTCAGTTTTTCTTCCCTCTTTTACTCTCCCTCTCGTAGGTATTGTACCACCTTTTTGAGGAGTTTTCAGGCATTGGCTCAGTGACGTTGTTGAAAGGCTTCCTGGGAGTCATCTCCTTCTTTGTAGTCGCCCTGGGTGGCGTTCTAGTTGGAGTTCTGTACGGGATCCTCGCTGCCTTCACCTCACGCTTCACGTCCCACACGCGCGTCATCGAGCCTCTTTTTGTCTTTTTGTACAGCTACATGGCCTACTTGTCTGCTGAGATATTCCACCTCTCCGGCATCATGGCGTAAGTTTGTTCGAGTCTGGTATATAACAACCCACGAAAACCCCAGCGTTATAACACATTGTCAGATTGTGTTCTACATGCAGGATATGGCAAAATTGAATCTCAGTATTACTCTATATAATGAATAAGATTATTCAGTTTTACTGTGCAATATCACTGAATTTTAAGTGATTCAAAGTTGTGTAAATTTACAGTAATTGTACCACTGCTAAGTTGAAATTCATGGTACTTGAGTAATAGTAATGGGTTGCATTTGTATAGTGGTTTTTGAGACCCTCAAAGCGCTTTACAATTCCACTATTCATTCACTCTC